AATATTTAATTTGTTTTCCGTGATTGGCTATTACTTCAAACACTGTTTTTTCATCTGAGTGACGTTTTGTTTAATTGAATCTTAGACTTTCAAAATTACACTTTTGTGCTTTTCCTTGTTATTAAATTGATGCCCATTCTTGTATACTTGTCTAAACAATATCACCAAAGGTTCTCGATGGGACTGAGATCGGGTGATCTGGCGGGCTAATCCATAACATTGGTTTGGTTAGCCTGTAACCACTCCATAGTGGACTTAGCTTATTGAACAGGGATGTTGTCTTGCTGAAACACATAATTTAGACCCCAATTTTTTTCCATAAGGCAAGAAAGCAGTTGAAAACAAATTCTAACTAAACGCATCAAAACTCATGTCAATGGAAAAAAAAATTGCCTTTGAATCCGAATGCCATACAAATCATAACACTCCCTCCTCTTTGCACACGCTTGGAAAAAAAACAACAACTTCTCCTTTCTAAGGTCATGCCAATAATAAGATAACTCACCCGGATCGTCCATATTAAAAAAAAAAATTTTCATCGAAATATGCCACATCTTCTCATTGCTTGTCCCAAGTCATATGAGTTTTGGCCAAATTGAAGCGATCTGATATTTGACGCTCGGTCAAACATGGCGCGTTAGTAAGCTTTCCAAAACTGAATTCAGACGATCTGTAAAGTTCTCTCCAAACCGTCCAGCATGAAACACCCAATTCCAGAATTGCCTTGATCTTGGAACACGATGTGACGATATTGCTTGCTTCTTTTTTGATCGTTCTGACATTCCTGTCACTTAATTTCTTTCTTCTTCCGGCTCTTTTCCTGGCTCCATATTCTTCCGTTTTTCATAAAAGTTGTTAATAACTGTTTTTGAAAGCTTAATGCTAACGGCAATTTCTCTACGACTCAAATTTTCATTTTTCAGTGCGATTATTTGACCTTTTTCAAATTCACTTAATTTTGTAGCCAAAGGCATTGTTCATGTCAATTTTCTAATGTGCAAATGCTGGTGAGTTATTAATAATGATTTATAACATTTTAAGCGATTTTTTTATTAAAATTATTTTAATTAACAGTGCTTTTTTTTAATTTAAATTTTTTAATATTTTTATTGTTCAAAACACACACACGCGCGGACACACACATAATTATCAAGCCAGCTGAATTTTATATTTAAACGTTAGCAATTGAGATATTTTAAAAAATATTTTGTATATTATTATATAGTACTAATAATCCGAAAGTTTCAAATAATCACTTACTGTAAAATTATTCAAAATCGCAAAAACGATTGGTTCATAATTAATGTATAATTCATAATTATGCACCAATCGTTTTTCGCGATTTTGAATAATTTTACAGTAAGTGATTTTCTACTCAACAATTATTTGAAACTTTCGGATTATGAGTACTATATAATAATATACAAAATATTTTTTAAAAATATCTCAATTGCTAACGTTTAAATATAAAATTCAACTGGCCCGATAATAATGTGTGTGTGTGTTTGTGTTTTAAACAATAAAAAATATTAAAAAATTTAAATTTTCAAACTCACTGGGTAAATAAATATATTTATTTATCGATTTATCTTCTATCTATAAAAGGCAGGATGTGTGTGTGTGTGTGTGTGTGTGTGTGTGTGTGTGTGTGTGTGTGTGTGTGTGTGAATGCACGGCCCCAATTTCTGACGGATTTGCACCAAAATTTACATGCACATGCTCCAAGTTAGTGGAAAGGCCAAGACTGACGTTGTATTTCCCAAATCCCATCGATAATGGAAATAATCGATTTTTTTCATGCATCTACGGGAGTTTTCATGTAGTTTGCGGCCATTTTGTACTGGCCAGAGTGAGAGCCAATAGCTGGCTGCCACGAATAGGCAGGTAGATTCTATTGGCTAGCGTGAGAGCCAACAGCTGACTGACACGAATCTTAACTAGCATGCTAGCATGCAAAAAAAAAAAATCGATAGCTGCATTTGTCACAAGTTGGAAAAAATTAAATCTGCATGGCACTTTACTCCAGTTGGCTGATTCGCTTGCTTAAACTCAACGTTGATTCTGATTCCGCAGAACTGGGTTGGGTGTGAAAAAGTATTTGTTGTTAACATTCTTTTTTCATTCGGTTTTTCCAGTTACGAGTCCTTTTTTAAAGCTGATCGTTTTGTGTTCATTTTGTTTAGTTCTTTTTCCGTAACAGATTTAATATTTAGTATAGAGCTTAGAAAAAATTCGCAGTGTGAGATAGGCAAGAAGTAAGGCATGTAGCAACATCAGCACGGCAAATAGCACTCCTTTAAAGGCAAGGAAGGGCAAAAATATTTTAAGTCAAGTGATAGCGATTGCAGTATGAGTCGTACGATTTTTGAATCAAGCACAGGCAATGCCGGGTCATGCTGCTAGTCTAGTATATAAATATTAATTTGCTTTATTATTTCAGTTAAGTTCCTTGACTTGTTTTGTCCATCATGGTCACCATCAAGAGAAAAAAATCACTGCTTGTTAGTAGCAGTGACTTACAGAATTGAATGACTGTATCTGAAAAAAGTGAACTTCATCTGTAGATTTGTATTATTTTATTTTTTTATCGTTATTTTGGGTCAGTAAATGTGTTGGTTAAACGGCGTCTTTCAAGTTGTATATAAGATAGAGTCTGGGAGATTCCTGATTCATATATATTATAAAATGGATTAACTCCGACAATTATTTAATATATTTTCTGTTTATAAGTTATTTTTAGTAGATACTATTTATTTAAGAATATGTTCTGATTTTTTTTTTTTGTTTTTTGTTTTTTAATAAACAGTATTAATTACATTTACCGACCTGGATGTCCAAGGAATTTCATAAAAAATATGCGTTCTCCAACAGTAATTTGAACTTTGCTAACCAGACGCTTCTCTATAGCTAAGTGGTATAGCACGTCAGATCTATTGACGGTTCTGTATAGGACACGGTTTCGATTCATGTAAGTTGCCCTGGTGAAGCACATAACAGGTAAGTACCGAAAATTTCGTGCAATTTACGACAGTGACACTGATCCCTTGTCCTGGGTATGACGATAAACAACACCCGGTGGCACGGCATCTGATCGGGAAGTTTGAGGGGCGTTGGACCACCTCATAATTGCTGTTGTTCGCAGGTCCACTCTGACCCGGGGTGGTAGCAACTGTTAGAGTTCCATTATGGGTAAATATTTAACCCACTAGACTGGGGCCAAAATACTATGAAAATATAAAAATAGATCTTTAAAGTAAAAATACCAGCAGTAACAAAATAAATGACTCTGATTCGTCTTGTATTCCTTTCATCACACTTTTTGCCACTTCATTATTTGTCTATATTTCTGAGATGAAGTATTTTGTACTCTATCTACATTGTTCGGACTATCGTCCTCATCTTTGTTGCCATATTTATCACAACTTCGATGTACTTCAGCAACCATTTTTACCAGTGCTCATATTGCAATTTTTGCTGTTATCATTGCATTTTTTTTTAAATTGCAATAGGAGCACTATTTAAAATGGTTGCTGAAGACATTAGGTTTATAAGTCCCAGAAATTCATACACAAATGTCCTCAAGGTCAGTGGATAAAGGCGTTAGTTAGATCCAGTGACAGGGCCCAAAGAATGTGAGTTCAATACCTGGTTAAGGCATTGGAGAAATTGGAGAGGGAAATTAACAGGAGATAACTGATAACTGACATGGAACGAGAACAGTCCGGTGAGCGAAATAAAGTGTCCAGTTCAACATTCCAAGTTCCTGAAGAAGTCCGAACAATGTAAATAGTGAAATCTGATCTACAAAGTGATTTCTTACAAGGAATACATATTCTATTCATACGTACCTATCCTAAAAATCATGTCGGCATAAAATAACCCATTGAGGCGTTGATATGCCGTAAAACAAAATAAATGACTCTTATCCCACATTCGTCCTGCATTCCTTTTATCACACTTGTTGCCTCTTATCTTACCTTGGAATCCTACAACGAAAACACAGATATTTTTCAACATAGTTCAGTGAAAGATTTACTTTCAAAATTCATAGTTGATATTTATTAGATTAAAAATAAGAAATAATAAGAAGCCCCCCCCCCACCAAATAAACTGATGCCAACATAGTTTGTGTTGTTTGAAGTGTAGCTTAGATGAGGTTGGTTATCGTTTTGAGGAAAAAAACGGTAGCGTACAGAAGTGGGTGGCGGTCGGTGCACGGTCCCGGGCATCCAATCAAAGAATGACATAAAAATTTAGCCTTTAGCAATCTGCATTATTAATATTATTTCCATTTCCACTGCATTCTTTTTCAATGCCTATAAATTGCAGTATACTTATTGTTAATTTCACACAAAGTCGTTTTCTGTTGCCATAGCAGGATATGACAACACAACTATGAATTCAAATTCAGAGATGAAGGGCACCTTCATTGACAGTATATACTTTTTCTACAGCAAATTAAGTCGCATACAGAGTGATAAATTTTAGATTATATTTAATAAAGTGTTTCTGTTTTTACATATTTAAAATATCTTCCTTTCTCACCTTTTTTTCAGACTAGGCCCTATAGACCTGCCTTTTTTATTCTTAGGGGCACACAACCTAAGAGGTGGCCTCGGGCATCACAAAACATCAGCAAACCTCTGATGAAGTAAATATCGAAAAAGCAATAATGTAGATGACACTTGGCTTCTTAAATATTGACAACGAATACAAAATCGGTATTGAGTATTTTTTTCAGTTCAATAAGAAATCAGCGGCCTCAAAATGAGCTTCGACACAACCCATATATGGAGAGAGAAAAAACTGTCGTCACTAGTAAAAGATATGTGTATATATATATTGACCTGAGCTCGTGGGTAAGTACGACGATTCATGTGCTGTTAAAAAGTGTATAATTATTTATTGTCATACTTCTTTTGTAGTTTCATTCAACGGTAATAATTCATTTTAGAGTTTATTTTGTAAGATAGAATATGATTTGTACAAGCTGAGTTCAAATGTTTATTACTTTATCGATCAACATCTATCTATCTATCTCGGTATTTTCTTGCTTAGATTCAATCAGTTATGTGCCATGCGTGATACACGCTTAGGCGATCATGTATCTTTCAATACATGACTGACGAGGCAGATTTTTCCTGCAGTAGGTTGCCATTTCTTTCTGCAGTAGACCAGTTTCCATCCAAAGCTATAGAACCTGATCTGTCCTGCTATTTACCAATAGGTAGAAAGAGGATTTATACCTTTCCCAAGGGTATTAGCACGTAACTGAATGTAATGAATTCGACTAGAATTCGAACTCGGCTCTCCGATTCCTCAATCCGTGACGCTATCCATTAATATCTATCTAGCTAGCTAGCTGTTCCTGTCTGTCCATATCTATCTATTATAGTCTACGCTTTTCTGTCCAGCATTATAAAAGGGCCAACAGCAATCTGGGGAAATGATGTAGATTGCGCTCCATAGCTATGAATGAGCAGGGCGGTGATGACATGGCGTCCTCAGATCAGAAGTCTCCTCCAATAGATTCGACGCGTTCGTCACCTCAGTGAGCCTTCAAATTGGCGGACTTCAGTTGGAATTTGACCTGAAGAGGGATGGACTCCGACAGGTCTACTTAACCAAGGCGTACCCGGTCATTTGAACGTCGATGATGCTATAGATACGTCAGCCTATTCATATCTATCTATCTATCTATCTATCTATCTATCTATCTATCTATCTATCTATGTTCACATATAGCTATCACAATCTGTTCCTATCTATTTATTTGTTCATTATCGATCGATCTATATTCAGATCTAGCTAGCTATCTCAATCTATCCCTATCTATCTATCTATCTATCTATCTATCTATCTATCTATCTATCTATCTATCTGTTCATTATCTATGTCCAGATCTAGCGAACTCGCTATCTCAATATATTCCTATGTTCACATTTAGCTATCTCAATCTGTTTCTATCTATCTATCTATCTATCTATCTATCTATCTATCTATCTATCTATTCATTATCTATGTCCAGTTCTAGCGAACTCGCTATCTCAATATATTCCTATGTTCACATATAGCTATCTCAACTGTTTCTATCTATCTATCTATCTATCTATCTATCTATCTATCTATCTATCTATCTATCTGTATCTGCCAAAGTTTTTTTTCATATATATATATATATATATATATATATATATATCTAAAATCATCGACCTCCATTATATCTCTCATCATCTCCGTTCGTCATTGTCATCTGTTGTTGCGTTTTGACAGTAGAAGCGATGACGTCACAACGGCTTACTCGTCACAGACCGTAAACACACAGCACTCGCTTTCCTCTCCCGTTGACTGTTCCAAGATGGCCGATCTGATCTCAAAGTGACAAGTCTGTTTTGATGGACTCAAAAGATTTCTGTCCTGCCTAAGCAGTCTTTAAGCCGCACCGAGCGTCCTGTCGAACCCGTTCGTCAGAAGACGTCTTCTTTTCAACCCTTCCGTCATCTTTGGTCTTAGCTCTCTGCATTGTTTGCTGCGTCCACCCAAGCCTGATTATGTCTTCAGAATAGCTTATTCGCTGGCACATAAAGGTCAAGGTTTCAATCCATGCCAACAGCTTCTTCGGCAATATATCAATATTTATGGATTTTTTTCTACCCCAGGTTGGCCACTGAAAGACTGAATGATATAAGATAAAAATAGATTTTACAAACACATGAGTATCTTGGAGTAGTAAAGTTTGGGCCATTTGAATCTTGTATGGAAACATTTTTAAATCCAGTTTCAGAAACTTCTGAAGGGGTGTTTTGGCAATACCTAGTTGAGCAGGGCGACAATGGGTAGAAACTGAAGGCTACTCAAGCACACTCTGCCGTACGGCTGCGTTAGTGCGCACAGAGCGCTTCGGACCTCTTCCTGGAAGATCACCGACTGATCCAGTTGTTTCAAACCAGGCGATTAGGTTCCGAAAACTGTTATTGCTGGGAGATAGTCTAACATTAAAATGTTACCGGTATTTACTCTGAATTTGAATAACACCGGTCGATGTTTTTTTCGGCTCAAATGTTGTTGGGCAATTTGACATATGTTTCTGGGTTTATTTTATAAGTACAATGCAATATCAAAAATACACGGTGGTCACTGAAAGATTGAATACTATAAAACAAAAATAAATTTTACAAACACATGAGTACCTTGGGGTAGTAAAGTTTGCGCCATTTGAATCTTGTATGGAAAACAATTTTAAGTCCATTTTCAAAATTTTCAAGGATCTTCAAGGGAACTCGCCGTACAGCTTCCACCGGCTGCACAGTGCGCTTAGGACCTCTTCCCGGATGATCGCCGACTGATCCACTTCTTTCAAACTGGGTAATTAGGTTCCGAATCATGATAGGAGATAATCTGACATTAAAATATTGCCAGTATTTAATCTGAGTTTGATAATTGATTTTCATTGGAATAGAAAACCCATTGAGTTTTAATCGTTGTAGGACAACATACGTAACCATTTTACTTTGCAAAAGATGCTTTATACATTCCAAAAAATATAGAAATAAAAAGTTTGAAAACGAACAAGTTATGATTTTTCAAACCCTTCAGGATTTCAGTGGCCAGCCTATATAAATATAATACCCGTATTTTCTCAATTGCACTTAAATTAATTCATGACTAATGAAAATCCCTAATATTCTAATTTTCAATGCATTTCTATAGCATTGATTTTATTGTAAAATCATGTAGAATGTTTTACTATAGAAATCATTTAAAGTGTATATAAATTACAGATTTTTTTTTACTGAGATTCACTCCAAGCCAGGCAATAAAGCCACTAAGACTCAAGGGGATACTGGATATGGAAGAATTAGAAACAGAACAATTACTAAGGAGCAAGTACAAGAGAAGAAGAATCATTATTACAGTAGATAGCGATTGATATTGCATTTAAATTTTTGATGATCAAACTTGATTGGGAAGTAAAAAGGCGGAAGAGTGTTCCAAAAGCAAGAAGTGCGAAAAAAAGAAATTGTTAGCATAGAATTTACAGTTCCATCCGCAGCCAACTAAACTGTAAATTGAAGAGACCTCGATTCCTGCCTGGTACTGTGCTTCAATTCCAAATGTCTAGATACCATAGGGAAGATCAGGAGCGGTAATATTAATACTTATTCTTTGGATTCTATCAAGGAGTTCAAGGTAAATCGCAGGGGGGATCCAGATCATATGTAGTCGTAATATTCTATGCATGGACAAATGGTAGATATGTAGGTTATATTCTATAAAGAAAAATTGTCTCGTAAGACACATGGGACCAACTTCCTTAGCAGGTGACCTAGCAATAGATTCCATAAAGTCTTATCGCTTAGTAATAGATTCATCTTGCATAAACACTCACACATACACACACGCACACATACGCACACACTCACAAACACACACACACTCATATATATATATATATATATATATATATATATATATATATATATATATATATATATATATACACACACGACAGGGTAAGGAACAAATACGAATCGTTTATATTCTAACTGAAAAATAAAAGAAGAGTAAAAGTTCTGGTATTTTAAATTCTTGTGTTGTTCGTTTTTATTGCGAAAGCAGACCTGACCGGCATCTGCTTTCTTAAGCAATGTTCATGTGCATAATTCATGTATGTGACTGTATCCTAACTCAAATTTGTCTATGTGATCCTAATTCAAATTTGTCCATGTGATAAATATATATATATATATATATATATATATATATATATATATATATATTATGAAATGGACTAAGTCCGAAAAATATTTTAATATATTTTCTGTTTTTACTTTATTTTTGTAGATACAAATATTTAAGTAAATGTTCTGTATAAATTAAACATTATTAACAATATTACCGGCCTGAATGTGCGAGAAATTTCGTAGAAAATATTTGTCCTCCAACAGGAATTGAATTTGTATCCTACATGGGATCATCATATAGCCTGATGTGCTATACCACTCAGCTACAGAGGAAGTGTCTGGTTAACAAAGTCAGATTACTCTTTGTAAACAACAAATTTCCCATGGTTTCACGTTTTTCGGACAATCTATGACTGAACGGTCATAGCATTCTCAGCTAAATGGTGGTTCCATATAGGATACAAGTTCGATTCCTGTCGGAGGATGCCTATTTTATCTTGGGATCGAAATTGTGCCTAATCTGTCCGAAACTCGTGTTGGTTCTGTTGTTTTTCTTCAAGCAGTGTCTAACTTATTTCCAAGAACAACGTGCTATTAGAGTGGTGAACAAGATTCTGTTGGCTACATCCTTGTATTATTCAGAAAGTTAAAAGTTAAAATAGTCACGGTGACAAAATGTTTAACGGTTAAGTGGAGTGAGACTACAGCAAAAAAAAAAAAACATCAATATTATACGTTTTCTTATTTAAAACGCCTATTAACCCACTGACTGCCAATTTTTTTAATGCTTATTTTTTACCCAGACAGGTGTCTTAGGAGTTTATTTATTCCTTATGTTTAATTTCGCTAGTTAATATTATCATTTTTATAGAAACTAGAATATCAAATATATATGTGCATAAAACATTAAAAAAATAATATTGATTAGAAATAATAAAAAAATACTTTTAAAAATAGTCATTATTTTTCTACTCGTGAAATGTAAAATTACAACAGAAAGTGTCTTCTTATGGCTTATAATAAAACCTTTAAACGCTATGTAATGAGTTTAATTTTAACAGATCCCCAAATGGGGCTCATGGCAGGTAATGCGTTAATATTTTATAAACACTTCAGAATCTAACGAATATGGACGAATACTAGATTCCTAATTATACATAGGTCAATATATAGTGGCGTAAGTTTTTTTCAGGCTTAAACGCATGCTTCAGGCCATGTGTTGGCTCGCCTATTTATATATGCTGGCTAATGGTGCATTATGGATAGCAATGTTTATTGTATTATCGTAACGATTATTAGATAGGCGATAACAGTTATGTTTAAAATTATTCTATTGAATATAAACAAGTGTGGATCCAGAGTCTATTACATTGTCGAACGATAGTCGGTTTTATGTTTCATCAAAATCTGACAATTATTTCATTTTTGCTAGTCAATGTTATTTCTGCCAGAAAAAGACGGTAATATTTACAGTATTTACATTAGTCGGACTATTGTCCTCATCTTTGTCGCCATATTTGTCACAACGTTTCGGCCGTTGTACGCTCCGGCCTTCCGAAACGTTGTGACAAATATGGCGACAAAGATGAGGACAATAGTCCGACTAATGTAAATACTGTACATAATACCTCATCTCAGAAATATAGACAGACTCACGGTAATATCTATTATAATAATTTATCGTCACCCGCTGACGCAAGAAAAAAAAATGAAGGTTCTAAAAATGCTTAAAAATTTAATTTAATTATCAAAAATCCTTTGGTCTTGTCTTTTCTCTTAATAATAACAAAAAAGATTTTTTCGCTAAAACTTTTTCATCGGGTATGCCCATTTGTGTATATATATATATATATATATATATATATATATTGAGTCGAATTCGAATTCCAGTCGAATCCATTGCATTCACTTCCGTGCTTAGGAAAGGTATGAATCCTCTTCTTCTCCCTCCAGCTATTGGTAATTAACAGGATAGACTGGGTTCTATAGCCTTGGATAGCAACTAGTCTAGGAGAAGGACAACTCTGAATTCAAAACCTCCAAGAAGGTTGTTTGGGGGCCTTGTGGCATGTATTGCATCAAGTCTCTGTATTCGGCTCTTCAAAAAGTGTGGTTGGTTCTGCACAAAGCCTTCACCACTATAATCAGATCATAAGTGCTGGTGTCTGGGCAGTCGGTTCCTAGTAACTGAGCTGCTTGATCCTCATACGTCGAATACGACGGGAGAGTTCAGCATATATATATATTATTTTATTTTAAACTATATATATATATATATATATATATATATATATATATATATATATATATATAGATGATTGTTGCCATTTTTCTTACTCCCAGTTATATATTTGGCTAATTAAATTAAAAGCGTATTTTGGAATAAGAACACCGGATTATATATCTTACTGTTCTTTCTTTTTAATATAATATCTATCTATCTATCTATCTATCTATCTATCTATCTCTCTCCTCTCTCTCTCTCTCTCTCTCTCTGTATATATATATATATATATATATAAAAATTATTGCCATTTTTCTGACCTTCAGTTATATATTTGGCTAAATGAAATAGTTTCTGAAATATTGCTGCCATGTCCAGTGTTCTGGCTGTATATTTCAAGGTTCTCTGTACATTACAAAGAAGGGTCTGTTATATTATTGATCCTGACCTGGCATCTTGACTTCAGTTACTTTGTCATTGCTATAATTTGATTTCCCTCTGCCATTCCTATAAATATTTTCATTGAAGTTGTTCTAATAAACTCTCCTCTTTGGTGCCTTGGCCAAATGAATTTAAGCATAATACTAGATCTCATCGTTTTATTGTTGAACTAGCTGGACCATTCTAATACTTTCCTTTCTAGCACTTTTTTGCCTGCGGAACTCTCTACCAGTTTCTTGCTTCCCTGCCACCTACGATCTAAATAAAAATATTCATGGAGGTACCTATATTAACCCTTTCTCGTTGGCGCTTAATCTTTCTCTTCTATATTTGTCATGGATCCTTACCTATAACTACAGAATGAACTCTTCCTAACACTATGTATACTACGCCTCTCAAGAGAGAGAGGGTCGAATCAAGCCGAGCTTCTCGGCTTGACGGTCGAACTCTCTGCCTCTGAGCAGAGAGGAAACCGGACGAGGCTCCGCCGAAGGGCAGAGTCTCATTCGGGGAGATTGACCAACCCGATCCCATTTATACGGGTTCTACGGGCATTTTTTGGCCGAGCCTACGGGCTCGGGAAACCCAAGTTAAACTCGGCCTTGTGCCATATGCAACCCTCGTGGGTGGGGTGGATAGATACCGAATCAAGCCGAGAAGCTCGGCTTGACGGTCGAACTCTCTGCCTCTGAGCAGAGAGGAACCCGGACGAGGCACCGCCGAAGGGCAGAGTCTCGTTCGGGGAGGTTGACCAACCCGATCCCGTTTATACGGGTTCTACGTGCATTTTTTGGGAAACCCACGTTAAACTTGGCCTTGTGCTCGGCTCGATTCGGTATCTAGCCACCCCCCCAGGGGTGTGGCTAGATACCGAATCGAGTCGAGCCGATAGTAGTTCACTCCAAACCAGCCTGACAGTCATACTAACACCTTCCACATGTTGTATTATTATTTCGTGTAATATACCTTCGTTATTTCTACTCTTTTGTTCGTGTTGTTCTTCCTTGGTCCTAACCTGGACCATAACAATATTTAAACTCTTTTCTAAATGGTTTAACCTTTCTCAATGTTTTCTTTTAGCCTTTCTCATTGGTAATCTTTCGCAATTACTAATAAAACGTTCTCAACGATATTCAACATTTCTCAGTGGTATGCAACCATTTTCACTGGTAACAATCCTTTACCATATCCGAAATCTGTTTGCAATATTTCTTTTCCATGCCGACAATCGTTACGCGATACCGTACCCCAATTCCTAATTACACGACTTAGCGAGTAGACATTCATTTTTCATCAAGATAAACTAATACATTTTTTCGTTCGCTCTTCTGAGCTGACTGTTTGATCTCGGAGACTACACTTTTTTTTTATTATTAATTATTTTATTTTATTTATCTATTTATTTTTTTTAATTATTTTTAACAGTGACAGCTGGCAATTTGAAAAGACACGCCCCAAGTCCTTGCATAAACCCCAGTTGCATAGAATTTAAATGAAAAAAAAAGGATCTGTATTTACTTGGAAAATATTATACGGTCGTATTTCAGCTGAGAGACGCCCTCGGGTCTCGTTGAGTAAAAAAGATTATTGTGTTGTACATCGGAAATGATCAAAGAGGAAAAAAAAGCATTAACTTGTTAACAGTGACCTGCGATTGTCTGAGAATTGGGAGCACGCTGTGCTTAGCCAAAGATTCGCTGGGGAAAGCCAATGTCAATGTCTTTGAGAGGAGAAATAGTTAGATACGGAGAGTGGATAAAATAAGGAGCAGAAATGAGTAAAGGAAAAGATAGAATGAAAGAGAGCGGATGGGGAGAGAAGAAGAAGAAAAAGAAGAAGAAGAAGAAGAAGAAGAAGAGATGGAAGAAGAGAGAATAGGAAATGGAGGAAAGTGGAAGGAGAATGAAAAAGGACAAAGAATTAGAGAAGAGAAGAGGAAAGAGATGAAGATAGAGAGTACGATAATAAAAGAGAGGGTGATAATAGGAGTGTGAGAAGGGGAGAAAAGATAGGGATGAATTAGAATAGGAAAGGGAGGTGGTGGAAGCGATAGGAGGAGGAGGAGCAGCAAGAGAAGGAGAGAAATATATTGAATAAGGGTATGAGAACGACAGGTTGATTGAGAGACGGGAAGATGTTGATATTCCAAACAATAGGTTTTAAATTTAAACTACCATTTAAGCAAGCAATATACGTTATATTAAAAAAAAAAAAGTGTCTTAGAATAAATGTCCATTATCTGAAGTTAATTCAGTTCTGAAATAAATTATTTTCATTTTTAACGTTTCATACTACGTCTGTGTCCATCCTTCAAATCTACAAATCAATCATTCGTCCTTGCATTGTATACTGCTGTCATATATCGTCTGGTGACCCTGCTATTCATCTCGAGGTCCTCGACAAAATCCAGAGACGGATATGCCGTTTGATAGGTCCTGATTTGACATCTCGTCTACAGTCACTTTCTCACAGACATGCTCTGGATTCCCTCTGTCATTTCCACAAGTATTTTCATGGCAACTGCTCTGACGAGGTGTTTTCACTGGTTCCCAAACTGCATGAATTTAAGCGCGCTCCTATATTGGCACCTCGGTCACACACTTTCGCTGTCGAAACAGTTAAATGTAGCCGTCTCATCTACTCCAACAACTTATTATCTCGCACTATATATATATATACACAAATGGGCATACCTGATGAAAAAGTTTTAGCGAAAAAATCTTTTTTGTTATTATTAAGAGAAAAGACAAGACCAAAAGATTTTTGATAATTAAATTAAATTTTTAAGCATTTTTAGAACCTTCATTTTTTTTTCTTGCGTCAGCGGGTGACGATAAATTATTATAATAGATATTACCGTGAGTCTGTCTATACTTCTGTCAAAGAAGTTCTGAATGTGTTTGGTAAACATGAAAGATTATTGTCATGCGCATTATCGTTTCCAATGCCAATCGATATTAATTAACACATTATTAATTAATTATTTATTTTTTAAAGATTTGAAAGTTTATAAATTATTCTAATTAGAATAACAAAATGAAAACAATTCTTGTAAAATTTCATTATTCATTGATTTTCTTTCTTAAAGGAATAGTATTCATGATGCAATGAGGCGATTCTCAAACAATTAGAAAACCTAAACGAATTCCTTATTGGCGACCACAATGTTGACAAAATAAGATATGGAAATCACATAGTGTTGATAGTAGACACTGAAAGGAAACTACAAAAATGTCTATAAGATGGTAATAAAGGAAACTACAAGAACACCTTAAGAATGTAGTAAAGGAAAGCAAGAAAAAAGGTGTAAATATCAATTAAAAGAAAACAGAGTTCATGGTTGTTAGCAAAAGGAACAGCCCAATATGCAAATTAGAAATTGGTGAGACTAAAATCAGACAATATCTATCTATATTTCTGAGATGAGGTATTATGTACACTATTTACATTATTCAGACTATTGTCATCATCCGCCGCCATATTTATTACAACGAAACGTTGTAATAAATATGGCGACAAAGATGAGGACAATAGTCCGAAAAATGTAAATAGTAAAAATCAGACAAGTTCAACAATTTAAATAACTGCGAATTGTTTTAACAGTGGACGGAAATCCGAAGGCGCATTCAGATAGCGAAAGATGCCTTCCAAAAGATAAGCAGAGTATTAAGAAATATGGTTCTAGAGAAGGACACTGAGGATACCATGGACTGAACACGTGAATAACGACGGAGTTTTAGAGAAAATGGAAACAAAAAGGAAACATAGTTTCTATCAGGAAGAAACAGTTGAAATGTTTAGGGTACAAAATGAGGATATTAGACTTATCTATACCCTATACTGGCAGTAAACTGCGTGCATATGGATAGAAATTGAGTTCTAGAGATATAGAAAAAAATAGAAAGGGCTGTAAGACAAGGATGTGACTTCTCACCGGACATATTCAATACGTATAGTGAAGCGATTCCGAAAGAACTAAAAGTCTTACCATAATTAATTACTGGTGGCCACAATCTAACTTAAGTTATGCAGATAGTGTTGATAGCAGATAAAGAAAGAAACGACTACAGAAGATGGTGAATGAAAGTGAGAAGACAAGAGAAAACATCAATTGCAAGAAAGCAAAGTGCATGATTGTCAGCCCAATATGCAAATTACAAACTGGTGAGACCAAAATTAGACAAGTTCAACAATTTAAATATCCTGGAAGTGTTTTAACAGAGGACGGAAATTAATACACTGAAATCCGAAGACGCGTCGGGATAGTGAAAGATGCCTTCCAAAAAATAAGCAGAGTATTAAGAAACAGAAAAATTCCGTTAGAAACGAAGAAAAGTATGCAGATCTGTTACGTAATATCAGCCCTCCTATATGGCAGTGAAAGCTGGACGATCTTTTTGAAGCCACAGAAATATGTTTCTACAGAAGGATGCTGAAGGTACAATGGACTAAACAGGTGAGCAACAACGAAGTTTTACAGAAAAAGGAAACAAAAGGATACTTTTTTATATCAGAAAGAGACAACTGAAACGTTTAGGGCATGTAATGAGGAAAGAGGGCTTGGAAAATCTGATGCTCACATGCCATATTGAAAACAAGAGGGTCGGATGAAAACAATGCAAAACCTAACTGCCGAATTTGAGTAAATGAATGGCGGAACAATGTTTAAGAGAAATAACAAAAAGACAAAATTTATTAAGAGTTACAAAGCAGAGGAAATTGTGGAGAGCCATCAGCCTGAAGGGACAGGGCAAATAGAAGAAGATTGATTTGAAACTCCAGATATGTTACTAAATATCGAATGACATGAAAGATCTTTCAATGAGTTGTTCAAAGATATGTGTGATTAGAATAAATTCTCATTGCCTTTCGTAAATGCTGATGTCTGCGTATTTTTACTGGCATGAGGATTTTTGTAATTTTATGAAATTACATATTGTCTTCTTTTAACCAACCAATACAGGTACTTTATGACATTCGTAGACAAATATTTCAAAAAATACATTCAAAATGAATTCTTTGCATTGTAAATGAAGCATTTGGATATATAGTTTGTTTACCTTTCAAACTCTCACGTTTGATGACGTCACTGATAATAAACCGAATGAAATTTTAATATCAAAGATAAAATAAAAAAAGGTAAAATAATAATAAACCTGCAAATTTTTTTAAAAATTAAGCTAATATTCAGATCTATATGATATATTAAATTAGGCGGGAATCCCTTCGCTAAGTACGGTTCCAAATTCCAAACCAGGGCCGGCGAATACTACCCACGAAACCCCGACTAAGATGGCCAAAACTTGAGATGGGGGGGACGTTGTTCGTGACCCTTGATATCATATCTACATTTGCTTCTTTTTCTACATACATTTATATGTTAATAAGCAGAACTCACTATTGAAAGATGAAAGATTTTTGTCGATTTGGACGTCATTCTGGAGGCTTGTTTTTTTTTTTTTTTGCGGGGGGTTCGTTAAAATCCGTGAAATTTCTTTTCTCATGCTGAGTCTCGAAAAAAAAATAAACACTATATAAAATTCCTTATATTTTATCCATAATGTGGAATGTGTCAAAATTATTCAACTTTTAAACAAGAAAAATTTCAAGTCGATGTTAAAAATTGCCGCAAAATATTGTTGATCTATTAAAATGGAATGATCTGTCGGGTTACCTTCTCCTAACATTCAAAATCGCTACTAGGGGACGCTTTTAAGGCTTAAATATACTGCGATATTTTCCTCGCGCTCTTCTTACTTTTTCCGCTTACACGTCAACATGTAAATCTCTCGCGGAGAACGCGTTCTCATTGGTAAACGCATGAACAATACACACACAAACACGAACATACGTACATTCACTCAGTACACATACTTTGAACCAAGAGGGTTTCCACATTTAGTTGACGCACACATATTTGTGTTTGCCACTTTAAAACCTTTATATGGCAGATTTTGACATCATTCTGTTGTATTTATTTTTTTATTTTGCTCAAATCCACAAATTTGTTTTGTTCATGATAAGTCTCGAAAAATCTATAAAAGTTCACTATTTTTTTTATCCATAATGTTGAATGCGTTAAAATTATTCGACTTCTTAACAAGAAAAATGTCAAGTTGACGTTAGAAAAATGTCGCAAAACATCGTCTATTTATTTAAGCTGAAATGATCTTTTATAACATGTCTCTGATTTGTATTCATGTAATGATCTATTATGACATATCTCTAATTTTTATTCATGTAATGATCTATTATGACA